CACGGGCCTAATAAGGGGAAAACCTTCCCCACCTGGGCCTCGGGTCCAATCAGAGCAGCCAGCAGGCCCAGCACCTGGAGTGGGGCTGTCTGCACGTGTCTGCAAATGAGCATGAGCTCGGCCTCTGTGGTGTGACCTTTCAAATGCCAAGAGCCTGCTAGCGTCCTAGAGGGAACTGCTGCCTGGCAGTCAGCCCTCTGCCACCCTCCAGGGTTTACGTCCCAGGCTGCAGCTCAGGCCTCTCACACTGACCTTCTGCTGGAGTCCTCCGCAGCCTAACAAGTCTCTGTCCTGGGAACCACCCTCATGGGCCAGCCCCCAGCAGTGGCTCCTGTGATCAGGGAGGTCACCTCCACTCCCACCTGCAGCCTCTCCTACTTCCCAGGGGCTTCTGATCAGGTCAGCCTGGGGGAAGGGCTGACATCACCTGTGATGAACAATTGCGCGTGTGCTCATTTCTGCCTCGACACCCCCCCTTCTCGCACAACACACGTACCTACCTACATAGCGCTCCCACGCCACACTCCCATCTGCACCCACACCCACTCGTGTCCCCAACACCTACACAAGGCTGGGTTCAACAGTCAGAACCTGCCTGTGACCCCTGCAGGCTGGTCTGCTGAAGAAGAGCGTCTGCTCACTGCCCCCCAAGCCTTGCTTCTGCCAACTGGAAAGAGGGGGATCCTTCTTATCTTGGTGGATCACAACAGAAAATCAAAGGAGAAAGTCACTCAAGACTTGGTACATAATAAATGCTCACAGGCTGCTGGCAGCCTCCACTGGACCCTCAACTCCCCACAGCCAACGTCAAACACCTGTTGACAGGCTGCCACAGCAGACATTTTCTAAGGCATTCCATGGGTGTCAGCTGCGACTTACTGATTCTGACAATGAACCTGGCTAGGAACCTACCTTTCTATCTTCAGGTAGCCCTTAGGGGTGGGCGCTGTTATTATTCCCATTAACAGATGGGAAAACTGAAGTTCTGAAGTCTGGTGACTTGCCTGAGGTGGTAAGAGGCTGAGCCAGGGGGAGAACCCAGGCAGCTGGGCCCCAGAGCCTGACCCCACCCTGTGCCTCAGGGGGACAGAAGTGAGGCCCGGCCCCATTTCCCACAGCACCGGGGCCAGAGAATTACATCTCACATCCACCTGAGCCCTGGTGACAACCCCCTGTGGCCACACAGCAGTGGCTGGGAAGGTTTAAGGTTCAAGGAGGAGAAGTAGGCTCTGCCCCTGTGGGGGCTGCGGGAATGAAATTGAGGGTCCCCACAGCTCTGCTCAAGGGGTGGAAACATGGGGGCGCACAAAAAGTCAGACCCCCATCTGCGCCCACATGTTGGTGGCTTCTGCACAGCCACACAACTGCACACACACGCAGGGGGACAGGCAGTGGTCACAGAGGCCCACGTGTGCCCTGAGCAGGCATGAAGACCCACAGCTGCAACTCAGTGTTGGGCTCCCACCCCGTGACGCCCCTGCAGACATTCACTGAGGACCTGGGGGGTGCCAAATATCGGCCCAGGACAGGGGACAACCCCATCCCGACCCATAAAGACGTCTCATGGGCAGTGACGATGTAGCCACAGGCCACCGCATACTAAAGACCCCAGAAGCCCCCATGGCGGGGACCCAGGTCATCTCTGAGGCTTTTCGGGTCACAGTGTTGCCGCTGTCTGTCCAGGGCCACTTTGTCTCCCCACCTCCTCCTCCTTCCTCTGCTCCATAGCGAATCAGAATCACTGCAGAAGCTCCTTTACCCTTCCAGGCCTGGGTGGAGGAGGTCACTGTCACCCCCAGTGGGGGGTGGATGGGAGGCCAGGGACAGACACCTTGGCACTGATTCCAGCCCAGATTGGTGCACCCACCCCTCTGATGCCTCCGATTCTACCCCTCAAGAGCCTGGGGGGCAACAGTGATTCCCTGGGACGAGGCAGGTGCTTGGGACCCAGGCTGGAGCTGCTGTCTCAAACCCCAGCCTAGGCAGGAGAGCAGCCAGAGGCATTGGGGACTGAGGGCCCTGGGAGCAGTGACAGGTCCCCTGTTGCCTACTCTTACCCCAGCATGGGCTTGGTGTTTTCTCAGTGAAGGAACAAACAGGAGCACTCCCCAGCTCTCTTTTTTTTTTTTTTTTTGAGACGGAGCCTCAAGCTGTCCTCCTGGGTAGAGTGCCATGGCATCACGCTCACAGCAACCTCCAACTCCTGGGCTCAAGCGAGTCTCCTGCCTCAGCCTCCCAAGTAGCTGAGACTACAGGCCCCCACCACAACACCTGGCCATTTTTTGGTTGCAGCCATCATTGTTGTTTGGCGGGCCCGGGCTGGGGATTCGAACCCGCCACCTTAGGTGTATGTGGCTGGCGCCTTAGCTGCTTGAGCCACAGGCGCCGAGCCCCCCAGCTCTCTTTAAAAGAGACATTTGTCACTTATGTTTTCTCTCTCGGGCAGGGCAAATATTATCACCCCATTTTACAGATGAGAAAACTGAGGCCTGACAGGAAACACGCCTTGATTAAAGTTTACAGAGTTGCCTTGAACCCAATAATGACTAAGGTGATTAGAATATGGTATAACACTTTCTGTAATTCCACTCCTCTGGGTTGTGAGCCTGAGGGCCTTCCTGTTACACCCCCCTATTCTTAAGCCCCAGCCTTCTTCCTGTGGTGGGGGAGACATCAATTCCTTGGCCACGATGTTCTGCTCAACACTGTTGGAGGATCTCAGGAGAAGCTCGACCTCTTGCTGCAGCTGGGCAACCCCTATGATAGTGACGGAATGGGGTGACATGGCCAACTATATCAGGTCGCTACGAGGAGGAACTGAGCCAAGTGGCTTCCCCAGTGCACCAAACACTTACCACAGGCTTCACTCTTGGCATTAGACATCAACCTACTGAATCCTCAACCCCTGCCAAGCAGGAACTATTAGGATCCCCATTTTACAGACAGGGAAACTGAGGCATAGACCCACACCAGGATTTGTCTGCCTTCTGACTTCAGAGTCCTTTGCTACTAATCTTTAGGTTCAGGCTGTCCATGCCTCTACCCTAATCCCTTCCCCCATGAAGCATCAGGACAGAAAGAGCTGGGTCCTGTCCAGTGGACAGCTGGGGAGGGTAACTCACCATTCTTGTCCGCACGGCGGAAAATCTGTAGAAAAGAGGGGCAGAGTCAGCTGTGGGCTAGGGAGGGGCAGGCACCTTTCAGTGGCTGCCCTCCATGGAGGTCCCTCTCCTCCCCCCACCAGCAGCTCAGGAGTGGGAAAGCTGAGCTCCCTGCCTCCATGCTCTCCAGGAGGAGCCCCTGGAGCTGGGATCCCGGGTTGAGGGAAGGAGGTTTCAGGCAGACTCCCGGCCATCCTCCGTGGAAGCAGCTACCCCCTTCTCCCTTCTGTACCACCCACCTGCCCACGGCCACACTGACAGACACATGCACGTGAGCCTGCACACACACGCTCGTGCCCACACACATCCCTGCAGGTGTGCGTCCACAGTCATCAGGCCATGGAGTCCACCCACTGCCAAGCACTTAGTCGCACACAACCGTACTCAGATTTGTGTCCCATGGACAGCTACGCCTCTACCACCACACTCCTTCCAGAACCTTGAGTTTTTTCAGGGAAGCTGGGTTAAGTGAGAATGGAAGTATCCGCCAGGACTGGGGACAGGACCAGCGAGCAGAGGACCAGTTGCAGACAGGTTCTGGCTGCATCACGCAGGGATGGAAGGGACGGCCCAACACTAGCCTCAACTCAGAGATCGGTAGACTCCTCTGCCCTTCCCACTGACATTCAAGGTCAGCCTGGACTGTTGCCTGGGAGCTTTGAAAGTCCCTCAGCCCAGGCCACACCCCAGAGCAAAGAGATGGGCTTCAAGCTTCCCAGGCGCACACAGCATTGACACTTGTGGGCTGACTTGATCCTCAAGAGAATCGAGGTTCAAGGTCTTATAGGAGCTGGTTTCAAACACAGTGTCTGTCCTGGGTCCACTCAGTCAGCCCCTACCCTGCAACCAGATCCCTAGAGAAATCATGCACCAGTACATTAAAGTCTGAGAAGAATGTCAGGATATGGAGTGGCCTTGCCCATCTAACTGGCTAATTTTAGCAGGGAGGACATAGAGAACCAGGAAGGGGCAGCAACGGGCCCAAGTCCCCCCAGTGTCTTCCCAGACACCAGGGAAGTTGGACTGGGACCACGTAAGCCAAGCAGGAGGTAGCACTTTCTCTGACCACCCCACTTTGGTCCTTGACTTAGGGCAAAGGGCAGGTGCCTGTCTGCACCCCCATGTCTCCAAGCAAGAGGACAGGGGCATCCCGGGCCATCTGTTATCAGGCACCTGGACCATGCTGGACTGAAGCAGCAGCTCTGGAAGGGCCTGCCAAACATCACTGGTATCCTCAGCTGAGCCAGAAGGGGTGGCAGTTATCAGACCCTAGGCCTGCTCCAAGACCCCCAAGACCTGCTCCTGCCTGGGCGAGGCTCCTAAAGGCTGCTATTCTCAGATGCCCCTGAGGGCAGGCACCAGGGCAGGTGTCTGCTCTGGGTATGAACATTAAACAAATGAATGACATGGCATAGCTGACCCCTGGTGGTATCAGCTCCGGGAGTCTGCACACACACCCCTACCCTGGCTCATCATCCCACTTCTCAGATGAGATGAGGCTCAGAGCCCCATGCATCCCAGAGCCCACCTCCGTCACTGCCACAGGGGAGGAGGCAGGAAGAGCCTGGGTTTGTGGAGCTCAGCCTAGGACTTTCAGGGTGATCTCTGGTGGGGTCCCAAGACACAGAGTGCAGCCGTGCAGGCGTGGTCCAGATGTGTGCGTGTGTGTGCACACAGCAAGTGTGAGTGTTCACACATGTGTGTCTGGAGGACTAGAGCTCCTCCTGCCCTGCCCAGCCCTCCCTGTCCAGACCCAGTAGTGGGATCTAGGAGCCTAGAAGCAGAAGAGGAAATCCTGGCTCCTCCACCCACAGGGATGCAAGGTACACACATGTATACACACACACTTGCGTTTACACACCCACAACTCTCCCACCAACACACACAGAACACCCCCAGCCACAAACCAGCAGGGCCCTCACTGGGACAGGCATGTCCACACCTCCAGGACACCCCCTCCACCTCCTCCCAGTGCTTCCTAGGAGAAGTCTCCCACCCTGAAGCTACCCACCCTGAAGAACACTTCCTCCGGGAAGGGGTAGGTGGAGGGTGAGGTGGGATTCCCAGAGGTGGGTGGTTTGGGTCCCAAAGGGGCCAGGAGGGGTAAGGGGTGAGTCTGGGGTCCATGCAAAGAACGGAGGTTTTGTTGGGGGGAGGGTGAGGCAGGAGACTGAGCAGAGAAGGGGGCTAGGAGGGGAGGGGAGTGAGTCTGGGGTGGGGAGCCCTGGCAGAGAGCAGGCTCTTCGGGCTCTGTGGAGAAGAGCTGGAAGATGGGCGGTGGGGAGGAGGCTTCATCTTGAAGTAGCGGGGGCTGGGGGCAGAGGGTCTTTCTGGAAGAAATTAAGAGGGTTCAGGGTCTACAGCGAAGAAGAGAGGAGGGGCCAGAGCAAGAGATTTTGGGGTGGGGTCTCCGAAAAGTATCTTTCTGGGCACAGAGCTGGGATGGGAGGAAGGGGCGGGTGGCGGCAGGGGGCTCCAGTCCTGCGGGGTAAAGGGTGGAATTTGATTAGGCTAAAAGTAGGAAGACAGTGGCTAGGTCCAGGGGGCTTGCGGTCCGCCTGTGGGCAGGGAGGGATCCCGAAGAGCGCAGAGAGAGGACGGAGGAGGGGGTCGTCCTGGTCCAGTGAGGGGAGAGGACTAGGGTGGAGACCGGATAAAGGTCCTGCTAGGGCC